GCACTCTCTGCACCCGGCTACGGGGTGCAGCTCCCTCGGGAGCAGCGGTGCCGCTCCAAGGGAGCAGCCCGCATGAGATAAAGTTGCCTGTCCAGCCCGGAAGGGGGTTGTGGCGTGGAGGAGAAGGATTTCAGTATCCTGAGGATAGAAGCACGGATAGGTGGCCAAGCGGCGACAGAAAGCGATATAAACAGACACCAGTCGAAAAGCTTCCTTCGACGAGCAAATTCGTGTTCTAAAAACAGGAAGATGATTAGGTACTGTCCAATCGCTGATACTGGACTCTTTGATCATTTTGACATATCTGATGAGAACTGGAAAGTATATAATCTATTATGTAACTATGTAACCTGCGAACCTGCCATAGAACCTAAAAATATTTCTGGAAACGTTGGAATGTAGGCTATGGGGTCATCTTTCCTTCTAGCATGGGATATTCAAAACGGACTGTTCTATATTCTCAAGCGGTTGCAAGGCTAAATGAAATTGTATTTGAAATAACAGAGGTTCTTATGTACATTTAAAATAATGATGAAGCCCTTATGTATTTATTGCAATGGCAAAAAAATGATCGTAACTTTGATCTGCATAAGAATCATACAACGGACCTTACCAAGCCACGCCCAGAAGCTACGCATGTTATGTGAAATGAGAAGAACGAGGCAAATTTAATTCTGGAAAACTGTTTCATGATACATATTATAAAACGTTTTAACATTGAATAAAAAACGCACACACACACTTGAGCACGTTAAACGGAATTAAAAGTGCAAGCATGGATTTGAAACAAATATATCAAACCAATTTTAGCAAACAGGGAAACACAGCCCTTAACATGGGGTCTTCTTTCCGTTGGAGAAATTGCCTCATCACAAATGCAAAGCGAATCAGCCAAATGACCCAGCTAATGTACCGAATTGAACAAACTGAATCACTTAGAACACAGCTTACTAGCACGCACACATAAACCCCTGTTTATCCACAGAGGAGCTGCGTGGATCGCGATTAGAAGTCTTCATTAAATCGTTCCTTCACCCTGTGGTCGCTCAACCCAACGCACCACGCCACCAGCTCTACTTTCCAGTTCACCTATCTTTTGGTCGGATGCCAAACCGCTTTTATGACGGCCCGGGCGTTAATAAGCCGCTCCTACGCAGCCATTATCTGGCTACGTAGTGCGGCGGTGGCCTTAGAGCATCCTTTGGCAACAGGACAAACTGTGCTGACCCAGTGCTGACTTGGTCGGCGAACTCAGCTTGAAATGGGCCTCTGAGGAGCGACACGGGCACAATAATGCGGCATCAAACGTGTTGCAGTCTTATTAAAATGTTAAGAGCGCTAAGAAGACAGGCAAGCCGCAAATCAATGTTCAAAGGGAGCTTGAAGAGGGTGTTAGAACGTGTTTTGACATTTTTGCTCAAAGATGATAGGAAGGCTTATGAAATTTTCGTTTAAAGTTGTCTTGAAAACGTGGTAACTCAGGACGACCCACAATGAAATATTTGAACCATCTGAGTTCAACTCATTCGCTGAATTTAGAAACTGTGCATATTTGTGTTATGTGCATTTAGCAATTTTGCATACGTTACAAATGCTCTTATCCATATAATATCTAACAAGACCCATGCCAGCCCTAGCTGACCTCTAGCTGACGATCTCTCTAGATGACTCTAGCTGACCAAAGAAGTAGTCATAACCTTTACCTTACCATCAATTTCGCAGTTCAAGAAACCTAACGAAGCCTGATCGATTACCATATGTTGTACGTCGTAGCCGTATGACAAGCTCATTGCCAATCACCGTTTCAATGGAATCCGGTTCCAATCAGCTCTCGGCTAAGGAATATAACGATGTAAGGAAGCCTGTGATAATATTTAAATAGGTATTGAAAGCAGCAACGGTGGACTCTTGGCTCCACTATGTTATCATTTGTTACAGTTTATTCTGGAGCTACGATGATCAGTTCCGAAAAGCCTGGCAACTTTTGGAGTTGCAAACCAATAACAATCGTCCTTCTGTTTCAGGAGCAGTGATCCATGGTTTCCTGTGCTACAGTTTCGGCACCGTCAACATCTTATCCATCTTCATGGTGGCACTCTTCAGATATCTGAACACATGCTGGCCACATTTAGGTAAGCACTTCTACTGCAATTTCACTTCATTGCTTGTAACTGCAGTCGTGAAGCAATCTTGTCATTGCTGTGCTCTTTTACAGTGCGGTGGCAGTGCCGCGTAAAACTTTGCGTGCATCGTCTCACGCAAGACAGACTGATACTCTAACCAATCACGTGCTCAGATCAGCCTGGTATTCTCACCATTCATTGATCGCTTTCGCCCAACTCCACTTCACGCTCCAGTGCTTAACGCCCGTCCCGGATGGTTACATTTCCAGATGCCGAATTCTCTTACCCAAATCCAATTAAGCAAGAGTTCGTTGAACCTCCGACCGGTGACCCCTGCTGTGTTCTTGCTTCGCGACAAGTGTGACTGACCTTTGGGACTTCTCTTCACTGACCTCTGTGACCTGGACAGGTCATCTACATGACGTGCGAGCGGCCAGGCTCTACATGGTAGCGGCCTATGCGTACGCGCTGTTCTGGTCAGTGACGCCGCTGCTGGGCTGGGGGTCGTACGGTCTGGAGCCGCACAAGGTCTCTTCCAGTCTGGACTGGACCAGCACGAGACTCAGTGAGTTGATGAGAGAGGCACAACAACGTTTGTGATTTTAAATATGCAACGATGCATGCATGATGCAATGGAGTAGTTTCATGTTGTTTTCGTTCCTACCCCAAAATTAGAAGAATAATAATTGGTAAGTGGAGATTAATTGGTTTTGCTGTATTCTTTGTGGTTTTGACAATGGTTTTTACAACGTTGAAACTTTGCAACTGAAATTTTCAAAGTTGAAACTTTTCGAAACACTTGATTAAATCAAATGACGTAAAATTGATATTGCTACATGATTCACAAGTCTATGACTGATGCATTTCGATATCAAACGTCATCTTTACCTTACAACCTTCACGACATAACGTTCCATTTTTTCCTCTTTCACGCCCAGGTGATCGGACATACCTAGTCGCGGCTGTGTTCTTCATTTTGGCTCTGCCACTGATAGGAATGCTCATTTTCTACTGTCGAATCGTGCGAGTGTCGGCCAGAAGCACGCGCGCCATCAGCAAACATGGCGGAGTGCTCGTCGTCAAACTGCGCAGGCGCGACCGGAAGCTGAATCAGGTGGGTGTGGCGTTGCCGTTTTTTTTCTCGAATATGTCGATGCTTGGTTTGGCTGGTCATGTGTGATGTTTTGCTTTTACTAGCACAAGTTAGAGAACAACATATTGACGTGAGCGCAGGGGAGAGTACTTTGAAAGTTATCCTTCTCTTGGCAACATAGGATAAAGTTAAACAAAGTGAATGACGTCATACTGAAACTAAAAAATAATCTCTCTTATCTGACTTACCCGTCATATAGGAACATCATGTTTTGTCTCACAAGTTTGTTACACGCGTCTCAATTCACCACAGTTAAACACTTCAGTCCGTGTCCCATATAATACCGCCACTCAGGGGCGGATCCAGAAAATCTCCAAGGGGAGGGGCCATTAGAAACCAGGAGGCCCCCATAATCCCACCTGTTGGAGGCCCCATCTTCCCACTTGTTGGCCCCCCCCCCCCAAAAAAAAACTGCGTCTATTGAGCTTATCTAGCTGTTCAGGCAACATCTCAACATGAATAGCCACTTTATTTTCAGGAGGCCCCCTTTTCAGCTTTTTAACTTTTTATTTTATTTTTGAAAAAAATCGGCCAAGGGGGGGGGGGCCATGGCCCCCATGGCCCCCCCCCCTTGTATCCGCGCCTGCCGCCACTTGCCGCTCTATTGCTCGCCAGTCACCACTACGAAATTTTTTACCTACCCCCACATGACCCCCTCCCCCCCCCCCCCAGCTGGTGGTGCTGGTGCTGGCCGGCTACGTCATCACGTGGCTGCCCTACACCGTCGTCTCCCTCCACGCCACCATCGTGGGAGGTTACCAGCTTCCCGTCTACATGGTGGCTGTGGTGACGCTGTTCGCCAAACTCTCAGGGCTCACCAATCCGCTCTTCTATATTCTAGTGTCGTCCAGATACAGGTTGGTGATTGGAGAGGAATAGAGGGCAGAGCCTATTTTAAGGGAATTTGACTGGGGGGGGGGGGGGCAACCTGAAAAATTGTCTTTAATAATCCATTAACCCTCGCCCGTATTGGTGTTTCCAGCTGCGAACGAATATTAGGGGGGGTCCGTTGGACCCCTCCCCCTTGCCGTTTCGCCCCTGATCGAGCTAGAGCTTTGCGGAAAAAACGACCGTGTTGCCCGTGATGAAAGGAAACCGATGATACCCAATTTTAAGGTCCTGGGTCATCGACCTGACCATTGACCTGACCTTCCAGGTCAGGTCAATGACTCAAAAGTCGGGAAAATCGGGACCTGTTAGAGCGTCGCAAAGGGTGGCTGCTATGGTTTTTCCGGGGTGCTGATCACGAATATCATGTTAGTTATGATCATAGATGATGTCTTCATGCATTTAGGCCAGGTCAGGTCAGGTCAGGTCAGGTCAACCAGGGGTTTTGCCGGATATTCGTAGTAGGTGGCAACCGCCTCTGACAGCTTCGTAGCATGTTACGAAGGCACCAAAACTACTTCGTAAACGGTCAAATGGTTGCTAAATTCGAATTCAGCTCCAAAAACTAGCCTAGAAACATATAAAACTCGAAAATGTGAGCCCAGGTCATCAAAGGTAAATGACCTGACCTGACCTTCCGGTGACCTTGACACCCACCCTAATGCATGGGAGCAACATCATATCCCATGTTTGAACGTTTGAAACCACGAAAAGACTGCAAACGCGCGGCTAATGCGAGGCGACATACGCCGAATCGCGATCCCTGCCAAACATGGTGCCATGGTGCTAGGCCGCCGGTGCATTTGAAAGAACTGTGGTGCCCCTGACAAGCCTAAAGTTCCAACGACAGGCCCGTGGTTCCCCTGACAGGCCCATGATACCCTTGCGAGGCCGGTGGTGTCCCTGCGAGGCCGGTGGTGCCCCTGCCAGGCATGTGGTGTCCCTGCTAGGCCTCTGGTGCCCCTGACAGGCCTGTGGTGCCCCTGACAGGCCTGTGGTGCCCCTGAAAGGACTGTGGTGTCCCTTGGCCCTGACAAGCCTGAGGTGCCCCCGACAGGCCCGTGGTGTCGCTGACAGGTCCGTGGTGCCCTTGCTAGGCCTGTGAGCCTCTGGCAGGCCTGTGGTGCCCCTGGCGGGCCTGTGGTGGTACCCCTGACAGGCCCAAGGTGGTGCCCCTGCGAGGCCGGTGGGGCCCCTGGCAGGTCTGTGGTGCCACTGGCAGATCTATGGTGCTCTTGCTAGGCCGATGGTGCTCCTGACAGGCCTGTGGTGCCCCTGACAAACTTGTGGCGCCCCCGACAGGCCCGTGGTGCCCCTGACAGGCCCAAGGTGCCCCTGCGAGGTCGGTGGGGCCCCTGGCAGGTCTGTGGTGCCCCTGGCAGACCTAGGTGCTCTTGCTAGGTCGATGGTGCTCCCAACAGGCCTGTGGTGCCCCTGGCAGGCCTGTGGTGTCCCCGGGCCCCAAGGGGGCGGGGGTCATGACCCATATGACCCACCCTTGGATCCACCACTGGTCATTACTTGCAGACTGACTCATTTGACATCCATTGCAAAACAAGTCACAGTAGTATGTTTGTCACCCTGTTCCTTTATGCCCATTTTTATAGTGGGCAAATCTCGACGACTGGGGGGGCAATGCTATTGAGTGCGGGGGCATTTGCCCCCCAGTTAACATGTTAACCCGCGAGTTGCTGGGGGGGGGGCGTTAAACGCCCCCACTTTTTTCGCCGGGCCATAGCATAAAAACGGCGCGCCGCAGACGCGCCAAATTTTGAGTACCTGTAGAGAATTGATTGAAGTTTATTGTGACAAAGTTTCAAAAAAATCGGTCGGAAAAGTTTTGAGATATCAAGGTTTTAGTGACGTCATGATTTCTGAATTTTCGACCAAAAAACGGCATATGTTCCAAAAATCATATAAAATCACAGAATAGACATACAGACATGCTGTAAACGCCATTAGACTGCCAATGCCATGATCAATCAAATGGCTATCTTCAATTATTGATTATCGTTCCGCATTTTCCAAAATCTTGAATTGAATCTTGGCAATTTTTCGTGACCATGATACATGAATTTCTTAAATTGAACTTTTTGAGCCAAACACGTACACATATGATAAAATGAATGTCACCATCGTGTTCTACGCCCCAAATTACCTATAAAACATGTGTCACAGGCTGCGAATATCAGTTTTGATTTTCGGGGATATGTGCCTACCCGGTTGACCTGACCTTGACCCTGACCTATGCTTGACTGACCCCTATATGGAGCTGACACTCTTGTAGGTCTTATAAGATGGATTGTGCACCGTTTTGACAGAGTTTATGGCGAGAGGCGCCCATTGCGAAGTCCTGAAGTCCATGCTACTGAAAGCCCGATTTCAGGTGTTTGACCTGACCTTGACCCGACCTGTGACCTCAAAATTCAATTTTAAAGTACTCATCTGAAGCGTCTCGTCGCGCTCTTTCGTTTGCCGCCTCGTGCGTTTCGCTGCGCCTATTGGTTCTCGAGTTATCGGCTGGGGGCGTTTAACGCCCCCCCCCCAGCAAACGGTGGGTGGCGAAATACCCCAGCAACTGCCGGGTTAAAATAGGCCCTGATAGAGGGAGATATAGGGGAGATGCATGAAAGATGCAAGGTGGATAAGCTTGTGATACGGAACAGAGAGGTGCGGAAAGATCATCGGGTCTTTCGGGAAGATGCAGGAGAATTTAGACATCAGCGAATTTGTATTTGTATTTGTATTTGTATTTATTTTGAAGAGCACTTCACAGCAACAGTGGCTTTTCAAGCTCCGAGTCAGAGAATAGGGTAGATACCAGATGTGTACAAAACAATTAGTCATCCAACCGAAACATACCAAGTCACACACACACACGCACACACACTGAGTCAGACGACCTTACTTCAGTTTAAAGACAGCGTCCGGCTCCGCATCTGTCGCTTCAGGGCTCGTTGGAAGCGTTTCCCTCTGAGGGAAACGGTCTCAGGTGGCAGCTGGTTGTGAAGCCTCGGGGCTCTCGCACAGAAACGCCGTTTCCCCGCCTCGGTTCTTGACCGTGGTACATGGAGATGACTGTCCTGCCTGGTCGTGCGCTCACGTAGTGCGCTCACGAATTAAACATAAGCTCGAGGGGCCTAGCTCCCAAACTAGCGACGGAAAGATACAGGGAGATAAAATTCAGATGTGGGGAGATACGTGTGGAGATGTCAGGGAGATGCAGGTGGAAACATAGCGGAGACACGACACAGCTAGTTCACTGTTCAGACAAAGATGTAAAGGAACAATCAGACGGGAGATGCAGGATTGTCCAGACCAACTATTTTGATGCTGGCTGATGCCACTTATTCAGGTAGAAAATCGTTTCAATTCGATATTAATGCATTAAGTTTAAATGCGTAAAGAAAACATCACAAAAGCAATGCCACTAGGTATATAACTTTTGGTTACGTAATGCATAACTTCCATATCATTTTCTATCTCGTTCTCTGATGTGCCTGGGAATGAAGTAAGATGATGAGAACAGAAAGAAGCTTTCCAGGGTCCCAATGTCCCCTAATCAGTGGCATCTAATTGATATTCATAGACATTGCCTTGGACACAGTGGTCAGTGGTCATCCGATTTTCCAGGCATCCACCAACATTGTTTTTTGTCTCCAGAGACGCGACAGGCATCTCTTACGATACCTCCTTATCAGGAAAAACAAAAGCGAGGATATTTGAATATTTGATGATTTAGAATAGTTTGCAAAGAGTAAGAATCTGGATGTACGAGAACGTAACATGCAGTTTTGTATCACGCCGTATGTGACACTGCCACCATGTATCCTAGCCCCCAGGACAATGACATCTCTCATTACCCATTTTTTTTCTACCGTCTGTCGCGTGCCTCTCGATGCCACATCAATATTCATTAGAGTTAATCTCTCCGGACATTCCCATTCCTTGTGTGGCATGCCAAGAGAAGGCTGTCCCGACTCGAGGGACCCTGCTCCCAAACCAGCCCGGCATTGCTCCAACAACTCTCAGAAAGAGTGGAGAGCCGCTAGTCAAAGCACGCGACTGGAGAATCGTGAGCCTCTCCGGCGACCGGAATTGTATGAAGTGCGCGCCGCCTATTTCGGTAGATCAGTTGAAGGCTAGTCACGTGCAACGCGTGTCTAGACACACGTTCAGATTTGTGTGCGGAATCAAGTTCGGAATAAAACGGAGGAAAACAGCCGTCCTAAAACATCTGCCTCTTTAGCTTTTGACCTTTCGGTATCATCAAGGCCCTAAATACAGTCATCATTTCTTTTTCCTGCCTTTGGTTTCATTGCTTTTAGTTTCGCTAAACATAACCAGACCACTTTTATGATGACTATTACAATAAGTAGGCATGAAAATCAATCACCCTAAAACGACATTGAGCGATTATTTTATTGCTGATTAATGACAGTATTGATATTTCACTAATGGCGTGTCACCTCAATTTTTCATTAATGTGAGAACATTGATGAGAACTACATTGGAACATGCCTGACCGGCCGGCAAGGCTTCACATTATTAGTTGACCTGCGCATATGCATGGACGAGCTTAGCGGTAGGTACCTATGCACAGTGCACTATGCCTCCATGTACGTATTCGCGAGCACTCGAAAAATATCGCGTACAAAATTTACATAACTAACGACAACCTAACCTAACATAATAAAATTGTCAACACAAGAGCATAGTTAATGCAAATAACCACAGTAAAACGCTGTGCAATCGACCTATGAAACCGCAGTATAGCTACAGATATAGACGTGCCCTCAGCAGACCTAGCTCAATCTTCCCGTCAGGGAATTTGCCCCAATTTGTTCGTCACGATATGCTCCGAGGTATTTGGCTGATAGGCTAGCGGCACGCAGCAATAACGTCTTCACGCAACTGGCTACAGTTAACCGGCGACGGCCCGCGCTGGTCCCTCAAGACAATTTCGCTGAGGCACTGCCGGGAATGCTTTACCAAAATCGATAGCTAAACCACTTCCTAGACCAGAAATACAGTGCGTCTGAAAAATACGTGCTTTAAAGTTATAACGGACTACTCGTTGGAGCACAATCAGTACGCTTTAGATCTAGGTACCCAAATTACGTAGGAAGGGATCCTATAACTTCTTAATTCCCTGACATTCGCGAGCTTACGTAATCCAGTCTCGAGAATAAAGAGCAAATTACCGAGCACGTGAAGTGCGATTAGAAAATGGGTCTTGAAGGTCTGCGTAAATAGCCCCGAGCAGGGACTTTATCTCTTTAATGGTCATATACTGATTTGCTGAGTAGAGTCGAATGACAAAATTCACGGAAATGAGTAGTGTTATGCTACTGTTAACAACTACAGCAGAACAGAGAATATTTGACCCGACGTCAGCTTAAAGATTATCTGATAAGTACTGTTCATTTCCAGGGAACTCCAGCTTAAAATGCATGATATGATTGATCATGAAGGTTTCTGGCGGTGAAAACAGTTTATATCATAGCTTTACAACACAACATTTTGATACCTTTTCTGGATGCATAAATAAACATGGTAAATGATTGCATTAGCCTCTTGACCTCAGCCTGTCTAATACTTACCTAGAAAGGAAGGAGTTGTTGAGCTGACCAATTGGACATGATGCCACGGCCCACGACCCATAACATCCACACACTACCAAGAACTGTTTGCCCTTTCTTATCAATTTACATTCCCAAATAGCATTATCACCTGACAACTGACACTGCCCACAGTCACAGAGTCGCAGAGTCGCACACCATTCTTCCCCGAACCCATTCACTCTGCGTGTTTGTCACGGGTTGACCTTGACCCCACCCCGTCGCCCCAGCCCCCTCACGCCCCTCTCCGCTCGTCAGGTCGGAACTGATAGCAGTTTGCTCGCGTCTGGTCGGCCTGTCGTCGTCCAAAGTACCAGAACGTAGCGGAAGAACCACGTCGTTCACTGAGGGAACCAGCATGAGACGGACTAGAACCACGAGAATACGGGAGAGAAGAGGCAGACGCTCCAATGAGGATAGCGGTGGATCCAATAACCAATCGCAGCAACTCGGTTAGTATTAGCTCTTAGCGTGTCTGTCTATCTATTATGTCTGTCTATCTGTCTGTCCATTATGTCTCTGTCTGTTTGTGTCTCTTATTCATTCTCTCTCTCTCTCCTCTCTCTCCTCTCTCTCTCTCTCTCTCTCTCTCTCTCTCTCTCTCTCTCTCTCTCTCTCTCTCTCTCTCTCTCTCTCTCTCGGTTTCTACATGTGCGTGCTTTTGCCACTAGGCTGCACGTAGGCCGCTTTGTAGTTTGCATCTTACTTGCAGGTGCTTCATGTGGTATTTTGATTAACAATTACTTTTATTGACGTGCAAGATGCTAGTTACCTCTCTACCAGGGCGTGGTATGCTGGCAAAGGTACTTTAGTATTTTATCCTACAAAACATTCATAAAATACCGTTGGCAGCCTTACTCCAAAAGCAATAACCCTTTGATGCATTAATATTTTCCACAACAGTCCTTCCCACCCCCACCCACACACACACACCATAATGCCTCGATAGATCAAGGGCTTGTGTTGCCAAGGGCTCCGACAATGTTATGCAATGTAAAATCCCACTGAAGTTTTTATGTCAATCATATCCCAAGTATTTGAGCTCATATATGTTTTAGTTCTTACCCATATCTCTGTCAGATCTCGCCTAGACTAACATATTTTCATCCCTTTCTTTCCTCCAGATCCCGTTTACTTAGAATCTCTTGCTGCACTGGATTCGGAAACACCAACATCAAAAGTCGTTCGGGAAACCAGAGTCTAGCCAGTGAAAATGTGAAGATCAGCGAAAAGCGGACTGAGGGCTAAAACTGAGTGGAACATGAAACAACGCGGAACATCGTCCAAACGGTGAAAAGAATATGAAGGAAAAAGGATCTTGAGGTGGGGGGGGGGGGAGTGCAAATTGTGATGCTCCTGGAGATTTATCCGTGTGGCTCCCGATGAAGCAAATGCTTCAGCTTGGGAAGTGTTATTTGTGTGCTTTCCGTGCAGCTTTCGCTGCTGTCTGTGGAGGCATGGCTGTTGCTCGCACAAAGCTGGATCTCGAATTTATCAGGAAAGCGGGGCACGTACTCTGACTGAATCAAACATTTGAGTCCTATGTGTCAATGAAACTAGTCATAACTGCGTTTTTTTTGTCGATTAAAGTTCGTCGCTGGTCTAAACCAGCACCCATGTGCAGGGCAAAATATATTGAATGTTATATAATTAGGCATTCATACTGCAATATATTTTAGTCAAATAGATGTAGGTGAACTCTTCTGCAGTGCTGTGATTAGACCTAAAACATGAACAAATGTGTATGAATGTATTCATGTACTCGCGTGTCAGTGTACTTATCTCTGTGTACCTAAGCGTCATGCCGCGTATAAGCGCAGACTGATTGCGTGAATACTCATCTGATTACCTATTTTGCGTTTAACAACCATGTAAAATCACATACTGTGTTTTTCGCCAAAGGCTTAATCATTTGGATATGCACATGCCGCTATCTTCCATAGTCAATGAAATGGCAACATGATATTGTACTGCTTAAAATGCAGGGGATGGAATGGTAAGACATGACATAAAAATCATATATTCTTTATCATACCAGTATAGCGCCTTTTGGGGCGACTAACGGAGCGAGCGAGAGGGTGAGCCTTGCACGTGCGAAATTTCGAGGGGGTACCTCCAACTGACTTGTGCACGGCACCCTACTAACCGGTCTCTAGCGATGTGCCAAATTTGAGCACAATCGGCCCAGCCGTTCTCGAGATCTGGAAGCGGCACCCTGCACGTGCGCACGTGCAGAATGGGTCCCAACTGACTTGTGCACGGCACCCTACTAACTGGTCCCTAACCGTGTACCAAATTTGAGCGCCATCGGTCCAGCCGTTCTCGAGATCTGGAAACGACCCCTGCACGTGCGCACGTGCAGCAGCACCCCAACTCTGGCACATGGATATGCAGTGCCTAGTGGGTGCCTACCTACATGCCAACTTTCAGCGCAATCGGCCAAGTAGTTACCGAGATATTGCAACAATTACAAAACTGACACCTCTTCGTTTTGCGCGTGGCACGTGCATAAGGGGTCACCCACATGCATCGGGAATAGTCCAATACTTGGTAGAAGGAATGAAGCTACCCTACAAAAATTACCCCGTGTAAATCGGTCCAGTGGTTGCTGAGATATAAGCCTCGCAAAAGCGTCCGCACGGCCGGCCGGCCGGCCGGCCGCTCATACTCAGAAATTTCCGTTAATCTAAGGAAAGACTACGCTCGCTTCGCTCGCTCCGTAATAAAGTTTATCTATTTTATCTGAAAGGGTTAAAAACTAGTGGTGTTGAAATGCAAAAAAATCACACTGTCTTAGTCTATGCATCATGCAATGTTCATTTTTCATATCCACTACCCTCCGCATTGACAACTTTTAGTTTACGTTAACATAATAGCAATAAGAGCAATCTCACCTAAAAAACTTGTGTTAACATTACTTGATTTGGACACGGCTGACTTCGCGATCTATTCACATACCATTAGGCTACATAACAACAGGCACTACTCATATTTTCACGAAATGAACATGAAAACTGCTCCAGAACATGCCGCGCTGGCGTATCTTTTAGCTCTCAGCTATGCATGTTCTAGTGTTGGAATTCTGTCTAATCCTGAAAAATGGGATAATGAAAAAAGTTGGCTCGAATTTTTAAGTAGATGGACAGAGCCGGAGCCCACGTCAAGCAGAGCTTGTTGCATGAGCCTAGACCCTATAGGCTCTATGTATAGGCGCTATAGCGCCCGATCGCAATTCCGCCAACCACATACAGGAATAGATGAAAAATAAGCTTTCGGTCACTACCCGTATACCTGTTAACGGCAAGCCGTAACAATACATCAGTCTCAAATTAACGTCAACGTTCGCTTTATTTCGGGTCGAAGTCACGACATATGGGCAGTTTGGATAAGTGGAAGTGTTGAACTTTTATCGTTAGTCTCTCGTTGCGCCCTTTACGAGTATTTCTCTCATCAATATCGGTTATGTTTCATAAGTTTTAGAGCTGTTAGACATACAGTCATTCCCAACATGTTAGACATTCAGGATGCTATCTAAATGGCCAGATATTTCCCAATGCATAGACCTGCGTATACCGAAGTATTTGCTTAAAATTATGAACTTCTTTCTCCGTGCTTTCTTTGCTTCGGGTTGCAATTTCTGATTAAAACTTAAAGGAAGGGTGCCACCTTTTGGACACAACGCAGTTTTTACAAGATTAGCCTCACATGAACCTAAAAACCGGCTTCACTTACCTATGCTCGAGACGGTCAGCATTGAATCCGCACGTGAAGTTATCATTTGCGAGTTTTGCTGCCAGCATTCGGGCAGGCAAAAATCTTCAGCACTATTTCCTCGTCGTGTTAAGGGTATTTTATAAAACATGAAATCAGCAAAGGTATGTATAAAAGTTATACTTTTGAAGCATGTTTTATCATTTTGAAAGGGTATATTTTTTCTTTATGGTATACACTTAAGTTTTAAAATTTTAATTGGGAAGTTTTTCTAGTAAGTTGCATGAAGGGTGAAGGGTTCCATAGATCTCTTAAGCATTGTAAAGGAAAAACCTTTACTCGACTTATTTGATGTTCTTTAACTGTTGGCAAATATGGCCAACAGTTACCTACTTGGTTACCTACAACTTAGTTCAAATCATGTTATCTTCTTCCTTTTTATTTGTTCATCTTTTTGTCTCAGTTGCGCCATCAATGCAAATGGCAGAATGATATGTTGCCATGACAACAGGATATGCCAGCCGTCCTAGCTGCCACATCAAACGACCTTGAGTTGTAGTGGTGATATAAACAACGATCTTTTTTTTGGCCAATGTATTAAATGCAATGTTTCGGTTTTTTGTATATTGTGGACGCGCTAACCACGTCTAAAAATTCAAATAAGTAAAATAGATTCATAGAACAAAAATTTCGGAAGGTGGCACCCTTCCTTTAAGGCCTGGCAATATCAGCTCACAATATCTGGCGAATTTACAAACGTGCAATATGAGAATGAGGTTAATTCATAACATCTAGAAAAAGTTACAAACGTGCAATATGTATGCCAGCAGGGATTTATCAGTTACAGGCATTACAGGCAATACAAAAGGCATATCAACAAAGACACCATTAAATAATACGCGTCATATCCAGTGAATGATTTGCAAACAAGAAGCCAATACAATGGTTCACACAATGCGGTTCAGTGAAGTGCACATCATAAAAAGCACCTAAAAATGTTTACAAATGGGGAAAGGTTGAGCTAATAGACCTGTCAGTCGCCATGATATAACTATTTACTATGTGATTCCATTTATTCGCTGTACAATACTTGCAATCAATGCTCTCATGTCTTATTGAACTCATATATAACACTTGTGTTTTTTTTTGTGTAACAGCTAAATAATCCATTTGAGGGTAAGCACTAGTTCCATGTTTACACATTTAGCGAGTTGTGTCAATATCAACTGTAGGTATCTAAATATGGCAACTTTAGTTCTATGTATAGGTGCTCAGTGAACCCAGCTCTAATCAAACTGCGCAGAGTGCTGTATTACCATAACACTATCTGTACAAAATATCATTTTCGCTCCTACGGAGCGAAAATGTTGTCCAACCGTAATTGTATTCGAATTACAATTTATACGTGAGTCTGTAAGGTCTTTCTTTGGCTATATCTTCACGAATTACAGTTTCTTTTCCAAAGGTCAGGCAGGCTGCAACATCCATCATACTCCGAAAGTCATCACTCAATTCATGAATAGTAAACAAGCCATCAAGACGAAACACCTGCGTTCTTTTTGTCTACCCGACCTCATGATACCAGACACGGAAAACCCGGTTAGCAACCGCAATGAAAGCGAGAATCCTTTATCTGCACAAAAACTACACGGTCCCATTGTATTAGCCCATGCGGAGAGGCCGGCCCGGGGCCAAGAGCCAACTGAGGTGTTTCCATTTCCTTTCCCGTTGGTTGGTGGTTGCCAGGGAAACTAAAGGTCAATCAGGGCACGGAGTCGAGTCCAGGGGAACAGGGGAAGGAAGGGGAAGGGTAGAGGTGGTGGAGGTCGCCAGAAAGTCGACAGCATCAGCAGTTATGAGTGCCAATCTGGGCGCCAGCCATAATCGATTTGGAAAATTTATTCGTAAATATGGCTTAGTTGAAAAAAAAAAATGTTAGAAAGAAAAGCAGCCTAGTTCCATTTATCTAGGCCTGTACTGCAAAAGCTAATAAATACAGGAGCCACAATGTCACATTTTACAAAAGATGCGACACTCGCTCATTCCTAAGTACGAAGAACTACAGTTCAAAGTTCAGGGCGCTCAGAAAACCCATCTAGGATGAGCCCGAACAATAAAAGTTCAAAAGTAACAGCTTGTAAACTTTGGCGCCATGTTTCATATTTCATATGCATGTTTCAAATTTGGTCATATGCGTTTTGAGACTATGGAAACTTTGAACGAGTGGGAAGCGTTTCCGATATGAATAATTCCAACGGGACAAGCATTGTGAACAAAAGTGTTCTAGTAAATGTCACGGTAGCTACACGGTAGGTGTTTTACGCAGTGACGCTTTTATTTCATTAATGCTCTCCGAACCATCTCACAGATAAGTTAAATTAGACAAAAGCAGTAGTTTGCAACGGTTTGAAAGCCTTTGTGCTCTTGAACGACAAAAAAAAAAAAAAAAACACGAAAAGCAGGAAGCATTATTGGGGACAAGCTGTCAGCTCAATGTTGCATATACTGCATTGTCATTGAGTAAACGCTTACCACAGGAGGGCGACTTTCTCTGCATCCAGTTGATTCTAAGTACCAGCACGCGGATAGGGATTTTCTATTACAGCCCTGCGGTACAGTCTACCTTTAGGCGTCGCACCCTGCTGCCATCTAGGGAGCAGTACAAGAACTTGCGCAATGCCCCGGGAAAGTTATGTTTGGCGTTTCTCACTTAATGATTCCGCTTAACCCTAACTTT